AAAAAACTCGCTTCCTTTGATCTTGCAGTTACAAAATAATTAAAGTATTAAATTGCACATTAGACCTCCAACCGCTGGCAGATGTGAAGCTTCTTGAGAGTGGGATGCGGGAATGACTGAAAGGCAAGTTGAAAGACAGTTTAGTTTTAATTACCCAGAAATTTAATTCCTTTCTTAATTTCAAAGATATCTTACATGAAAAGGCAGTGCTATCTAACATCAAATTTGTTACATTAGATATAAGAGCTTGGAAAATTCCCCAGAACTCTCTTTCTACACACTTCTCACTGCTTGCAAATTATTGGAAAGAGTTGCAGTGAGGGACTTTAAAATTAATATGCGTTGAGTTCCCATTTTAGAATAGGAGAATTCATCTCCCCCCCCCCCCAATCAATGCCTTGAATTGTACTTGGCCAATGGGCTATTCCCTTCAGCTAATATGGGCAGTAATTCTCTCTGAAGGATTAAAACAAAAATGGTATCTCTTAGTTTAAATGCAATGCAAACCGTGTTCCTCAGTTTCCTTGGGAAGACTGGTCTGGGAGCTGCCATTTTAATTTCCCACAATGCATCTAGTCTAGCATTAAAGGTAAAGGTAAAGGTACCCCTGCCCGTACGGGCCAGTCTTGCCAGACTCTAGGGTTGTGCGCTCATCTCACTCTATAGGCCGGGAGCCAGCGCTGTCCGCAGACACTTCCGGGTCACGTGGCCAGCGTGACAAGCTGCATCTGGCGAGCCAGCGCAGCACATGGAAACACCGTTTACCTTCCCGCTAGTAAGTGGTCCCTATTTATCTACTTGCACCCGGGGGTGCTTTCGAACTGCTAGGTTGGCAGGCGCTGGGACCGAGCAACGGGAGCGCACCCCGCCGCGGGGATTCGAACCGCCGACCTGACGATCGGCAAGTCCTAGGCGCTGAGGTTTTACCCACAGCGCCACCCGCGTCCCTTCTAGCATTACTCCAAGGCATTGTGGGGAATTTAAATGGCAGCCAACCACCACTAAATAAACCCCCCTAGGACCCAGCTCCTGCCTCAGAGACTTGGAGGCCTATCACAATCTGATGTCTATCAGAGGTGAGGCAGTGTTAGGTCCAAACTCTTGGCAAATCCCAGAGTTGCTTAGATCAGGGGCAGGGAATTTGTGGTCCTACAATGTTGTTAGACTACAGATCCTATCATCCCTGATCCCTGGCCCTGCTGGACAGGGCTGATGGGAGTTGGAGTTCAGCAACACCTGGAGTGCCACAGGTTCCCCATCTAGTGACTCCTCTATGAGCCTACTCTGAAGGGTGTCCATCTGACTGGTCACTCGGCAGTAGCCTCCCTTGGCCAGAGCTAGATGAGTGTGTTGCGCACACAGAAGGGCTAGTCAAGCTTTGGTTTGGGATCTGCCCACATGTCAAGCAATATTTGGGGGGTCGGTGGGGAGTAGGGCAGACCTCACCACCTTTGGCAGCTGGGGTAAAAAGACGGGGAAAAAGCACTAAAGCATACAGAACCCAGTGTGGGTGCAAGTTGTCGGCATGGAGAGGGTCGCAAGGCTAGCAGGCTAGCCCCAGCTGGGTCGTCTCCTTCCAGCCGTCCTGCTGCAAAGACCCATTGGCCTCTGCTCCGACGTAAATCAGCGACTCAGGCTTCAAAACCAGGGCACACTATGTCATCAGAGCGAACTGCGCACACAGAATAGGCGTGAGGCTTGTGGAAGCATACTACAACTACGGATTTATTAATCATAAATCAGGACAAAGAAACATGTCGTCTGCCTCTTTGCCTTCTTCTCAGAGAGACAGGGAGAAGCAAAACTATACACACAACGGAAGTTCCCAGCAAGCTGTGCTGGTATGTAAACAGACATGTGACATGCAACAGTTCCATGTCTGCAACTAAAGGTGGAATGGCATTTTCCAACACACACACACCCCGAGCCATCAGATCAATCATTTAGTGAGTGAAGAGGGGGTGCAAAGCTCCTTCCTCAACTGATCGGCATGGGGGGGTGGTGTCTGTGTGTGTGCCCTGCACGTGCATCATACTTGTGCATTATTTGTTTGTTTGTATACATTATGCTTCATGCTGAAATAGGTGTCTAAGCAGTTTACAGGTATAAAAGCCAATTGCGCAATCATGAAATGTAAATACCTGCAATTAAAAAGGTGCAACCCTATGAAACAGGAGACTCAAGTCGAGAGATCAAGGGAAGGCCTGTGCAAACTTAAATTTGAATGTCTGTGTGTGTTTGGGCTTAAGTGTGTTGTGACCACACCTACTTTTGCCCATGCCTGATGCTAGCAAGGACTGGCCAAGAGTGGGCCGGAAAGATTGTCACTTCTGGTGTACAGCTGAATCTTTGCCGCAAGTCCTGCCGGAGGTGTAAGTCCTGGCAGAAGAAGTCTTCCATGTGCATCTCCACTATGCCACCAGCAGTTTAAAGCTGGTGTCCAAGGTTTGCTGCATGTCGCCACCCCACCCCACTTTCATTATTCCCTCCTCGGTACAATGGCATGTGCAACAATAGGCTGTAAATTTCTCCACGAAGAACTAAGCACTCCGTGCTGTAAACAGGAGACTCTTTAAGCGGGAAACAATAAGGGGTTTCTTGGAAAACGCATACTATGTGCAGAAACGCAGCCCTCCAGCTAACAGTAAACGCGTTTTTACGAGTCCCCATCGGGACCTCTGGAACTTGGGGGGTGGGGTGGGGTGTTGCTGCAGCAGTAACCGGAGCCCATGTGTGAAAGACAGAAAGATTCTCCAGGGAGGAGACAAAGAGAATCCTGGGAAGAGAAAAGAACTGAGGGCAGCGTTGGAGAAAATTCTTATCTAGCTCATTCGCAAAGAAAGGAAAAGGCAGACTTCTTGGCTCGTGCATCTGGCGGGTAAAAGGGGGGGGGGGGACAAAAACCACTAGTTACGTTACCACCTCTCCTCTGCCTTGGATTTTAGATTTTTTCCCAGCACTGTTTTTTCCTTTACCAAAATAGGAGAGGAAAAGTTCTGTGAACGGCATTGGAGGCCTTGTGGACAGAGGTCCCCATCTCTGTAGGGGAGCAACAGTAAGCATGCTGCTTTTTGAAAGAAAAAAAAAAAACCCTCCAGTGATGTTAGATACTGGGTGTTTAACCGCAGTCGTCACTTGAGCAGCCAAGAGTGAAGTTTGCAGTCCAAGCGATGCTTTTTGCAAAAACTACTGATCTCTTAAGGTTGCTTCTGTCCGTAAAAGCGACCCCAATTCAGAGCAAAGTAGGCATCCAGCCGTACTGTTAAAAGCACTCTCATGCCACTTTTAGCAGTCATAGCATTCACCCACCCCCACCAAAAAGAACCTGGGAACTGGAGTTTGATAAGTGTGCTGACAGTTGTTAGGAGACCCCTCCCAGAGCTATATTTCCCAGCACCCTCGACAGACTAAAGTTCCCAAGATCCCTTGGAGAAAGCCATGCCTGTTCTAAGTTGTGTAATGTGGGGGTAGGGACGCGGGTGGCGCTGTGGGTTAAACCACAGAGCCTAGGACTTGTCAATCAGAAGGTCGGCGGTTCAAATCCCCGTGACGGGGTGAGCTCCCGTTGTTCGGTCCCTGCTCCTGCCAACCTAGCAGTTCAAAAGCATGTCAAAGTGCAAGTAGATAAATAGGTACTGCTCCAGTGGGAAGATAAACGGCATTTCCGTGCACTGCTCTGGTTCGCCAGAAGCGGCTTAGTCATGCTGGCCACATGACCCGGAAGCTCCCTTGGCCAACAAAGCGAGATGAGCGCTGCAACCCCAGAGTCGGTCACAACTGGACCTAATGGTCAGGGGTCCCTTTACCTTTACGTAATGTGGGGGGGGGGTGCCCTGGGGAGGTTCCAAGGGCCTGATATAAAGGGATGGAGGGCCACATTCAGTGCCACATGGTGGAGGTTCCCCAACTCTCTATAACTAAAGCAATTATCCACTTCACTCTTTCCCTACGTTCCAATAAGCCTGTTCTTTAAGAAAATATGAGTGAGAATAAGCAAGCTCCTGTTACCTACAATCTGACAGATGTTCCTTTTTTTGGTCCTTGAGGAAACAGAGGAAATGTGTGATTGCCTTGTAGTTCTTCCTCTGCTCCTGAGTGACAAGGTTGCCTACTAGTCATGCCTTTCCTTTATTATTCTTTTGTTTGAGAAGGAGCTGCACCTGAGTGCAACTGGAGGCGCTGGATTCCCATACAAAAGGAGTTTTCTTTTAATTTTAGCAACAGCATCACTCAAGCGGAAATCAATAGACAGGCTCCTCTTCCTCCAGCGGAGAGGAAGTGCTGACAAAAAGGGCGATATATTTAGATGTGAACTATGCAACTTGTAAAAAAAAAATCATCATCGCCATCTATGTCATCCAGGGGATCTGATTATTATAGGCCATGACAGCCCAGGGTCTGGGTTTACCATGCTCTCCCTCAAAATGTGTGTTTGCGTAAGAATCGTTTGTGTGTCGTTCCCCCAGCCCCAAATTTGCATGGTTTTCTGCACTTTGCACCATTTCCCCGTGGAGTTTTCATTTGGGAATGCATTGGTAAGGAAGGACAGATGGAGAGAGGAAACGCATGGAGGGGAATGGGAAATTAAAATACGCATGGGGAGGAAGGAGGGAAATAGGAAATAAGAAGTTCTGATAAGCTGCCATGTGCAAGGACAGGAAGTTGTGCTGGGTACAAAAGCATACAACCAAGGAAAGATTGTGACACACACCTCCCACTTCCAGATGCTACTCTGCTGGAACAGGGGAGACTTAGTTTAATGACCGAGCCTATGCTTTGAATGAAGATCGTCCCACTTCCAATCTGTGGCAGATCCTGTGCTAAGGATCTGGGGCATGAAAAAGGATTGGAGGACCACTGCTGATCAAAATGGACAGCACTGAGTCAGGCGACAGACCAGTGGCAGCCTGATTCATTTGAGAGCATCTTTGTATGTTCTTATTGTCTCTGCTTCATTCCTGTTCAACTTGGATGGGCAACTCAAGTGCCTTAAGGAAAGGGCAGTAGCTCAGGGGTAGAGTGTCTCCTTTGAATGCAGAAGGTCATAGGTTCAAACCCAGGCATCTCCCTGTCTCAAACCCTGGAGATCTACAGTCATACCTTGGGTTGAAGTTGCTTCAGGTTGAGCGCTTTTGGGTTGCGCTCCGCAGCGACCCGGAAGTAACAGAGCGCATTACTTCCAGGTTTTGCTGCTTGCACATGCAAAGACGGTCAAAATGATGTCACGCATGCGTGGAAGCGGTGAATTGCGACACGTGCAGACACAGGCTGCGTTTACTTCAGGGTGTGAACGGGGCTCCGGAACGGATCCCGTTCATATCCAGAGGTACCACTGTACTGCAAAGCCAGTGCAGACAATACTGAACTAGGAAAATAGGTCAGACTCGGTATAAGGCACCTTCCTATCTCCATAAACCCCTTTTTCTTTATGTACTCGAGGCTGGGGTACCTCAGGCTTGGGGGCCAAATTCTGCCCTCGAGGCATATCTCTCTGGCCCTTGGTACTCTCCCCAGCCACACCCTCTTTCCCAAGGGCACCCCCCCCATGCTTCTTGCTCTCCTTGAACATTTCTGTCCTTGAACTCCTCTAACTGGCCTGGATGGAGGTTAGATAGAGACGAGTCTCTGAGTATATGCAGAAGCTGGCCTGCATCAGTTGCTCCACCCACTTTGCCTCTGGACTTGCATGTGGCCCCCAGAAGGTTCCCCAGAGTGGAAGGCGGCCCTCAGATAGTTAACAAGAAAAAAGCCACCATGACCTCATCATTACCAGGTCTTGGAGGTGGAAGAAACAACAGGGATTTCCCTCACCTGTATGTCCCACCTTTGACCTGCAAGGAGCAATTGGCTGCCTGCCGTGGGCCTGGACACAACCTGTGTTCTGGTATTGCAAGGCAAATCAGATGCCAAACTTGGAATGTGGAATGATGCAAATGCCATGCCAAGGTTCGGCATTCTTTATCCAAATTAAGCAGCCAGCAACATACTAAAGTCACAAAAATGCACAGCCCCGGGATATTTTATTTTCCTTCTGGCTGTCAGAGGGTTTCCTGGCCGTAGCGGGGAGGTGGGAGAGTTTGAAAAACAGCCACAACCAGGCTGTCTTTTACGCGAGTTGCTCAGGAAATATGAAAAGGAAGCGCAGTTTGAAAATCTGGCACGGAAAGAGCAGCCGTCTCAGTTGCACGATTCTCTCAACTTCCATGGAATAATTGCAGAGTTAGAAGGAAGGCAACCAAAAACCCATCTAATCCTACCTAGGTTGCTCACTGGGGCAAGGCTGTTTGAACTTATTAAACCAATCCTGACCCAGCTGTCAAAGTGCTGGTTTCCTCCTATAAGGCCTTAAATGGATCAGGACCGCCTCTCCCCATTTGAACCTACTTGGATCATGAGATCATCATATGAGGCCCTTCTTCTTCACGTGCCTCTTCCACGAGAGGTCCGGAGGGTGGCAACACGAGAATGGGATTTTCTGCTGTGGCTCCCCATCTACGGAATGCTCTCCACAGGGAAGTTCAGCTGGCGCCTTCATTATACACCTTTAGGTGCCAGGTGGAAACATTCATCTTCAACCAAGCCTTTTGCTGATTAACATCTGATACCTTTTTAAATAGGGACGCAGGTGGCGCTGTGGTCTAAATCACTGAGCCTAGGGCTTACCGATTGGAAGGTTGGCGGTTCGAATCCCCGCAATGGGGTGAACTCCCGCTGCTTGGTCCCAGCTCCTGCCAACCTAGCAGTTTGAAAGCACGTCAAAGTGCAAGTAGATAAATAGGTACCGCTCCAGCGGGAAGGTAAACGGCATTTCCGTGCGCTGCTCTGGTTCGCCAGAAGTGGGTTAGTCATGCTGGCCACATGACCTGGAAAAACTGTCAGCGGACAAACGTTGGCTCCTTCGGCCGGTAAAGCGAGATGAGCGCCGCAACCCCAGAGTCGGTCACAACTGGACTTAACTGTCAGGGGTCCTTTACCTCTTTACCTTTTAAAATGATTTTTTGGGGGGTTTATTGGTTTGTTTTTCTTCTTGTTTTTATTATATATTTTGTGGGGGTTTTTCAATTTTTGGATCAACGATGGTATACAAATTTAATAAATAATAATAATACCCTGTTCCCCAATAAGCCAGGTTACCACCATATAACACAAGGATGGGGAGCAGGAGGAACTCCAGATGTTGTTGGACTACAACTCCCATCAGCCCCTGTCGGCACAGCCAATGGTCAAGGATGATGGGAACTGTAGTGCAGCAACATCTGCAGGGCCACAGATGTTCCCCACCCCTGATATAATGGCATCTTCCCAATGTAAAAGATACCAGGATCAGAAGTACTCTCCTTCCTTGGAGGTGTTTAAGCAGCGGTTGGATGGCCATCTGTCATGGATGCTTTAGCTGAGATTCCTGCATTGCAGGGGGTTGGACTGGATGATCCTCGGGGTCCCATCCAGCTCTGAGATTCTATGATAAGGTGAGTCAAAGTAAGGAAGTCTGTCTCTTTGGATACAGTTATTCATGTGGAAATGGCAATGCAAAGCCATTCACTCCATTGCTTTTCCTACCAAATTCCTAACAACTCTCTTATCTTTGTGGCTCATTGTTATCTGAAGTAGCAAAATGTCCGCCCACCGGTGATAATGTTTGTAAACCCCAGCTTGGGCCAGTTTATAGAGTTTGGAAATATTCAAGTATGCAAATAAGGGAGAGGATAGCAGGGTGGTGGTGGTGAGGATTAGTAGGCTGGCTCCTGACCTCAGGATGGATCAGGATGGCCCTTTCCGTACCGCAGCTCCTAGGGGCATGTAGAATTTATGGGGTTATCTCCTGAGGTCACAGGTCTTGCAAACTTGGCCTGCTTGCCACCTTCCCTTCCCTTCCTGTAAGCGTTCTTGACAGGAGCAGTCTTGCCTGAGTCCCATGTTCCAGAGGGAAATGATCGTGCAGCACTTGCAAACATCTTAAAACATCGCTGTAGAGGTGGGGCTTGCTTTTTGACCGTGTATTTTCATTTTTACCGCTAGCCTTTGTGTCGGGAAGGGAATGTGATGCAAAGGAGTTTATTATCCTCTGCACATTGGGAGGGAATCACTTAAAACTTTTGAATTAAAAAAGAAGAGAAAGGCTTATTCCCCCCCACCCCCGTCATTGCGAAAGGCAGCTGATGGATGTCGCGCTCAGGAACTTTGCTTATCTCATGTTGCTCCAGCATCCAAGCCCCTTCCCCGAAACAAACAGGGGCCTACCTAAATTGTCTGCGTGCCAGCTTTAGGTGCAAATTTGGGTGAGAAAATGCTGTCTGTACCAGTGAGGATGGAGTCAAGGCTTGGCAGTCAGTTTTGAGAATGGCATATCTCGGCTTTTCAGTCTGCTACAAATGCCTTCCTGTCACCAAGCGCCATTACGTATGGGCAGGAAATTACACATTTATGAGTGATTTACTTCTAAACAAACACGGCTACCCAAACAATAAGTTATTGAATTGGGCTGTTAGCTTTTTAAAGTATCCCAGTGAAAGATCATAACAGCTGTCTCGGCTGATAACTACTGTTTGGGATAAGAATATTGTTGACTGAGTTATTAGCCAATTGTTTTCGTGAAAGTCGAGCTGCATCTTTTTAGGTTGGGGGGAATAAAATGGGTGGGGGGAAATCACATATCAATTTTCTTTAAAACAATGTATTTCTCTGAGCCCCCATAAACATGACTTCTTTGGATGAGGGCTTAATGGCGAAAGAGCTGTTGCAGAGGCCACATCAAGATTCTTCTTTTGAAATTTGAATTCATTGAATGTTTGGGGGTGGAAAGGCAAAGAAAGAGGGAGTGTGAGAGGCAAAAAAGAAAAAGAAAAAAAATGAAATTATAATGTATTATTTATTTATTTCATTTATGAATTACTCCCTTGAAAGCACCTCAAAGCAATTCCACAATACAGTTTTGTACCTTGGAAGCCGAAAGCTTGTGGCGAAACTAGTGCAGCGCACGGAAACGCCGTTTACCTTCCCACAGGAGCGGTACCTATTTATCTACTTGCACTTTGACATGCTTTTGAACTGCTAGGTTGGCAGGAGCTGGGACCGAGCAGCGGGAGCTCACCCTGTTGCAGGGATTCGAACCGCTGACCTTCTGATAGGCAAGCCCTAGGCTCTGTGGTTTAGACCACAGCGCCACCCACATCCCAGAACGCCTTGCTAGTCGAACGTTTTGGCTCCTGAACGATCGAAACCCGGAAGTGAGTGTTCCAGTTTCCAAAGGATTTTCGGAAGCTGAACATCTAGTGCAGCTTCTGCGGCTTCTGATTGGCTGCAGGAAGCTCCTTGGATGTCAAACTTTTTGGAAGTCGAACGGACTTCCAGAACGGATTCCGTTTGGCTTCTAAGGCACGACTGTACATAGTTTGGAGGCTACCGTGTCACATTTTACCATCCTCTCACTTCCCTCCTGAATGTGATAAAACAATGCGGTTCCATGATACTAAAATGAAGATACTTTAGGGGCAAAATCTCATGGGGATGAAGCTCACCTTCCATGGAATCTCCACAGGATTTTGCCATTGTCACCTTTTCCTGTCCTCTTTTAATACGATTTCCCTGAGCCCTTGGATTGGCTCAGAGAAATTATTTGAGCTATCAAAAGAAAAGAAAAGAGAAATAATCTCCACCAGAAAAGCTCAGCTAACTTCCAAGTCAATCTGAGACAAGCTTAAGAGAAATCACACATTTTTCAATTACCGTACTTTTCCGTGTATGGCATCCCCTCCCTATTTTGGGGGACTCAAAATTTAGAAAATTGGGGGGGGGGGCGAGATTTCACGAAGTTTTCTGTGGGGAGGAGGCAGAGTTGCTGAGCTTTTATTAGGGGAAAATGCCAAAAATCGCTCACCCGCCAGACCAACATTGACGCTCACCACCAATAACAATCTTCAACTCGCGGCAGCAACCAATCCCACGGCCCCAAAGTGCACTACCCATGTATAAGACGGCCCCTAATTTTGGACATGATTTCTAATAAAACTAACATAGTCTTATACACAGAAAAGTACGGTATTTTCACACATGTTCAGTTCGATACAGG